ATCAAGTATCAGTGATGACTGGTGAAAATATTTTTTTGTTTAGTAGTTGTAATGAAACTTCAAATGACAATGCCAAACTGTGCTTGGTGCTTTGATTAAAGCATAATGCTTTTGAAGCAACAATAGTCGTGATAATTGATTCCTTTTAACATAGTTGAGCAGGGGTTGCTCCTCTCTTTTTAGTGTTATTATATTATGTTCTGCAATGATTACATTATGGTGAACTGAATATAATAAAGTATCTTTAAGGGTGGTTGAGGAGATTATGTACCAATGTTCTCTTTGGGATTAGACAGCTTTCAGTTTAAAGGATTGAGCATGATTGGATATAAAAGTTTTTGTTTTGTTTGGATTTTTTTGTTTGATTTGGTTAGTTTTAAAAAAGTTGGTATGGTTAGTTATTAGTAGATATATTAAAATAATATTTAAAATTAAATTATTAAAGTTGATTTGATGTAAAGTAGAAAAGAGAAGATTTGAAGTGATAGTTATTTAAAATTATGTGAGTGCATGAATAGTGAATTAAGGTGGTGTGGTGTGTAAGAATGATTGATTTGATATTATTTAAAAAAGTAGTTGAGTTAAAAAAGTAGTTGATTTGATATTAAAAAAGTAGTTGAGTTAAAAATGTTGGGATATTTTTTAGATAATCTTGTATCCAATCAAAGTATTGCCTTAGTTCTCTCTTTTTGGCAGTGAATCTTATATGCATGAACATTAATTATCTAGTGTTTTCATATGGATGGGTCATTAATGTATACTAGTACAGAGCTCGTGTGATGCACATGTTACACTAAGGCTCTTTATCCAACCTCATAATTATATAAACGAATAAAGAAAAATATATGGAATATATATAGTACGTGACATGTGCGAGACACGAGATATATTTATTTGGGGAATATTATGTTATAAGATATAATATTCAATAAAAGTTTTATAATACTCAAGTCAATTGTACAAAAAATAGTATTCGAAAAAGAAACAATCATATATTAGAAAGACCTACTTGTACACAACATTATGAGTTTGATTATTGGGCAACTCGTCATTATCACAAACTAACATCTTCGACCTCTTATGTTAGTTACACGCGAAACAAACATATAGTTGCTCCCGTGTAGCATGATCTTAAAATCACCGAATGTCGGACGGTACTATCCTAGATTGCTGTCAACTTGGTAATTCTTAATACAAATGATCATGCCCTCATCAAAATTCCTCTCTCTAAACACAGCCAAATTGATTGTCTGTTGCCATGCCGCAATGCGATTTCCCTAAACATGTACAAAAAAGTAATCAATAAAAAATTAATTTCTCTAAAAAATATAAATAATTTAAATATCTGAATACATACACGATAAAAAGAAAGAAGCCAAATTTTAAATTTAAAAAATAAAATTAAAAAAGTAGAAAATATACGTTTCATAGTTCGAAATTTAAAAAAACAAAAGTAGAAATAATTTGGCTTACAGTTTTATCATGGAGAACCAACTCGAGATATGATTTGTATGTGCTGTCCCGGTCTTGAAAAAACATTCTTACAATTCGAGCTTTCAGCATAGGCCTATTAGACCTATTAACTTGTTTGATTAAGTCAAATACTTGATTCATTGTTTTGAATATAAGACTAATTGGGGATATTTTTTTTGTTCGCAGGAGGTTGACAGAGACGAAGACGATGACTCAATATTTTGAGATTTGTATTTATTTATATTCAATCGATAAATACAATAGCGATTAATATTTTTATGAAAAAATCTCATTATACGGAAATCAGATTACATCTAGAGAAACAAATCTGAACAAATTTCCATACAATTAGAGACGATCGGTGATAAAAAGATAAGAAGGAACTTTGAATATATATAAACTTTAAAAATTAGATGTATTTACGTAAATCAATACACAACTAAACCATTTAATTTAGGCTTGATATCTGCTTTATTTATGGGTGATGTAAAATAAAGATATAACTTTGACCGATCAAATCTTTTATCACCGATCGAATATGCCTTTTTTTTAGATTTTACGTACAATTATTTGAGAAAATAGATTTTATTGGAATTTTTTGATTAAACCAATTTAATGGAGGAAAACAAATAAATAAAATAAGTAAATAAAATACTAACCTAAAAATAGGATGCATTAATTAATGTTGACTTTTGTATTAAATATAGTAAATAGGATGACTTATTATATAAGTATAGATATAGATATGTGACTAAAAGGTTGAATGGTTCCATCATTATTGATTATATACATGTAGCTATATGATGCTTATAAAACCGAAAAGTAACCGAGATTTAGGTTACCGATTTTTAAGTAAGCAACTACAAGTCGGCCGGTTAGTGCTTGAAGAGCATATTTACCGAAACAAATATGATTACCTCGATAAGATATTCCCTTCATTCTTCCTCTTCCAATAACAATAAGAAGGGTTTCCGTTTTTTCAAATGAACAACTTGAAGACCTATTGATTTTCGGTTCTACATTTTGGTGTCACCGAAATGTTCGGTTCGGTTATCGAACCGAAACCAGCCCTGATGGGAAGTACACAATTGTACAATGATTGTATACAAATACAACACAGATATATGTATACACCAAACAACAACAAAAAGTTTGCAGTTAAAAATCCAATTTTACAGGATCATTTTCGTATATCAACTTTTCTTTAGTAGTTTACAGTAACTAAAGACCCCTCCCTCATTGTTGTATCGACCAACGAAATAATCGATAAATGTGACCGACTAACAATGAATGGACATAAGAAGTCCTCATGCAGTAGGAACTTTGCAGCAGATACTGAGGATATCATCTAATGGCGCATGGTCACCGGTTCCTTCGTCTTTTCTTGCATATAATAATTGCTTTCCTTTAAACACAAACATCCCTCCCTCGTCTTTTCTTGCATATAATAATTGCTTTCCTTTAAACACAAACATCCCTCCCTAATAAAGTAAGAACCAATACTATTACTTTCATATGTTTAGCAAATATAAACAATTTCATGGTAAAAGAACAGAAAAGAAAAAAAAAAGGAAAAAAAAAGAGAAAAAATCAAAACCTGTTGCAGGACGCTACTTCTGTCATCTGGGGTGGCTCTAATAGTGTAGTTCTTCATGGCCTTTTTCAGGTCCTCAAATCGTGAAAACACTTTGACCTATGTAATTATAAATAATAGTGTCTAAAGTTGTGCAAAAAGCTTCGAAAAGTTGAATAAAACTTTACATTTGATACAACAGATCATGCCGATTATTTTAAAGGTTGAGAAAAGTGCATACGCTAGCTGGGTTGAAAAATGTACGGCCAAGTCCGTAATACAAGCCCAGAACATCATAGGCCTGAAAAATGAAGAGTTGGCATTTTCACTTATCTAAGGTCTGCAAAACAAGACATTATGAATACAATTCAGAATGTAAAAGTTACCTTACGATCCGGGTCGCAGTAGAGGGAATCCAAAGGAAATGGCAACTGTTGATGCAAAATAACCATATTAAATATTAGTTAGTCTAGGTATTATTAAACCACTATCACATGCCATTTTTAAGCATCCAAGGGATTTAAGGTTGAAGGATGATATTATAGGCGAGGATTGCGTTAAGTTTCGAAAGATAGCACTTCATTCAATTTTGACAACAGATGATAATTTCAATACCAAAGAAAGTGATTGCTATAATAACAATGCTATTTCAATGATCACAAATTCACAATGCTAAAATAACTGCTATTCCTTGCAACTCAAGTGAAATCAAGAAAATATTCGTTCTCATACATAGTTAGATTCCTAGGGGGAGAAAAAAGAGAAGAAAAAAAAATTTAATTACCCTTTCGGCAAGAAGTTGTGCCTTGTCGGGAGTCCCAACACCAACCGCTATTAGCTTTACACCAGCAGAGTTGAATTTCTCCTTCGATTCTTTAAGTGCTGAGGCAAACTCCCAACTAAAATACAGAAAGAAAAGCGCACGATTAACGAGAACCATAATGTTTGAACTATACTAGTGAAATAATAATATCATGGATGAGTTAGTATATTACCAACAAAAACACCCAAAATGTCTCAAAAGTGCAACAACTGCCACTCCCTGGAAACGAAAGAAAGGTCTGGTGAGATTCTCATGTTTAACTATACACAGACGATGTATCAATAATTGAGAAATTTCAAGTTAAAACCTCACATTACACACAGATTCTCATGTTAATTATACACAGATGATATATCAATAAAAGTTTCCACAAACAAGAAAAACCAAACCTTACCAATACTGCAATTAAATACTTGGTTTGCCTGAAATCATATGCAAAAGTGACAAGAGTCCCAAGAATACATAATCTGACTAGTAATTTCATATGCACGAGGCCGATATGCAAATTACGTAGGATTAAACAGTACGTAATGGTCCTTTAAACCGAGGAGCAACCTTTTGAAGCTATAACTATGAATTCTGGAAAACACTCAGTACATAATTAACCACAATTAATCACCTCCTGATCCCAGAGATCTTTGAACTGGACATACTCGCCGGCGGCGGTGAAAATGCCAACTTCACCGAGAACATCGGCCACGACGGCGGCGGTGGCAGATTTCCCCGCCATAAGTGACGTCCCACGGAGCTTTCGCGTGGAGAAACGGGTAGGTTTTGATGAAATTGCAAAAGATTGAGGGGGCAATAGTGATTGTGGGGCAGAATATGGGAGAAAAAGAGATCCAGTGGATGGAGGTGATATTATTGTTTTCGCCATTTTTCCAACTGAAAATTGATTGAAAATTAGTTGCGATGTAAAACAGAACGTCGCCGCAAAACAGAACGTCTGAACTTTTTTCCTATGCTGCAGATTGAGTGGGAGATGTAAAGAGAACCAATTTGGTTCAGAGAGTGTTGAGTGATGGTCAATTTACAATTCTTGTGGCGAGTAGACGATATGATAACGGCGTCGTATTGGGAAATAAAAATAAGGAGAAAATTATAAATTTGGTCCCAAAATTTTTTATGTTTCCCACATTTGGTTCTAAGTAGTTTGAGAAGAAAAATTGAAGGAAAAAAAAAAAGCTCACTCCGGGATTCTTGACCTCTCTTATGCTTCCAAATGTCATAGTGTCATGTCGGCTTATGGATTGATATGCTTTCATTGTACAATCGCTCGGATGGCTTTATTTGCACTCGAGGATTGTCGAATTATTTTCTCTATTCTCACTAAAAGAACACCATTGGACACACGGTGGTACTCCACCGTGTAGTGTACGCGCTTTCTTTTTCTTATTTTATTTTTCTCTTGTTTCTTTGCTTGTGTCTGTGCTTGTTTTCTTTTCTTATTTTCATTTACTTTTTTCGTTTTTTTTTTTCTCGCATGAGCTTGTGTGATTATGTCAATATCCTATGCTTTTTTGTCAAGTAATGAGAACATTGCTTGTGATCATGCAAGCTTAGGCGGTATTTTTTTCCGTTTTAGGTGCTTTATATTTCGTATTTGTCATGTCGTGGACCGGTTTTTGTTGTTGTTTTTGTGTTTGTGTCGATTTTCCACATGAAGCTTGATGTTTGTTTAAAGCCAAGATGGCTAAGTGGTGAGTTAAGATTGTCGTTCAGTATCATTATTAATTTTCATGCTCTATGTACTTGATAAATTGAACGATTTCTTTAAAATTAAATGATAATTTGTTGGCATTGGAACCCGCATTTGAATTCACTAAATTGTTTTGTCTCTTGTTTGTTCTCGATTGGTGATCTTGCAATATTGCCTTGTGTTCGGTCGTTGCAATAATCGAATTATGCTATATACTTGTGATACGTCTTGATTGATTGTTGATGTTAATGTGTTGTATTGTGATGTATCCTTGTGTGTCGCTCCCTTCGAAAAACAAAAATATAATAAAATGTTAGTTCGCGAGGAAGTACGGATTAGACTCCTCTTATTTCGATTCACTTCGTGAAATGAGAGAATGTGTCCGGGAAACCGTTTTAGGAAACTCGAAGAAACCCCTCGAGGCTAAACCTAGATAATCATCGTCTGAAAACCTCATTTGGAAAAAGAAGCTCACGAAAAAAAATGAATAAAAATAAGCTCATGAGAGTTGAAAGGATTAGACTCTGCTTGACTGGTTAGTCTCTTTCGAGATTAATCGGGTCAATGAGTATGGAAAACCGGCCTAGGAGATTCGGGGACAAATTACGAAAGTAAACCTAGGTAATAATCGTCCTAACAACTCTCATTTGGAAAAATTTACTCATATATAAAATAAAATAAAAAAAAAAAGAATGGCTATGTGGTTTTATTTTTATTTGCTTATTATATGTTGAGTAGACCATCTATAACTTTTTGCACGTGCATTTATAAAAAATAGATTTTGAATCGAGTTAATCATGTGTAGAATGACTCGGAACGGGTTTTTGTTTTGTATGGATTCATCTTGTCGAGACCGTGCCTTCGAATTTGAGTTTAATTTTGTCGATAACTGGAGGAAGACGAGAGTTTCATTTCGGATGATTTTTAATTTTGGACCGTGATTTTTCTTCTCGAACTACTTGAGACCAAATGTGGGAAACATCAAAAGTTTTGGGACCAAATTTATATTTTTCTCCAAATTAAAAATAACGACCAACAGTTTGATGAATAAGACTGTTAAGTCTTGACGGAGTGGTACCGTTTTGGCAACGAAAAATAAAAAAGGGCCATAAATGGCGTGCCTGGGACCAAATGTGGAAAATAGCAAAAGTTTTGGGACCAAATTTACAATTTTCTCTAAAAATAGGTCCCAAAACTTTTTCTATTTCCCACATTTGGTCCTAGGCACGTCAATTCTGGTCCTTTTTAAATTTTCGTTGCCAAAACGGTACCATTACGTCAATAGGTAACGGTCTTCCACAGTGAACGTTAGTCGTTATTTTTATTTGAAGGAAATTACAAATTTGGTCCCAATACTTTTGTTGTTTCCCACATTTGGTCCCAAGTAGTTCGAGAAGAAAAATCGAACGGTCTAAAATTAATAATCATGCGAAATGAAACACTCGTCTTCCTCCAGTTATCCACAAAATTAAATTCAAATCCGAAGACACGGTCCCCACAAGATGAATTCATACAAAACAAAAAACCATCCCGAGTCATTCTACGCATGATTTACTCGATTAAACTCCATTTTGTTCCAAATACACGTGCAAAAAGCTATAGATGGTATACTTGTTTGTTATGTTTTTGTACTTATTTTTATGTGTTTATATGTGTTTTTGAGTCAGTTTTAGGTTTGTTTTAGGTTCTTCCGGTCCATTTTATCGTTTTCCGTGTGTTTGTATATTTTCTCTTTTATTTTGTGTATTGGCGTACTTTTCCGTGCATTTGATATATTTTCAGGTTTTCCCCGAGATTG